CCAGTTGACATGCATTTGCAACACGGACTACTGCAACAGTGCTGTAAAACCGAACACAGCAGCAATTTGGATCAAATTCGTTGTTATATTTCTGTTGCAATGGATGTTTTAACGCATGTAACATATAATTGTAAAATGAACGTTTTTAAATTCTAATGGTATAATATACTATTGAATAATAGATTTGTTTCAAGACGGCACACTACGAAAGCATATTCATTCCAATAGTCACCTATGTGTATTGAATTCGAGCAAGAGTAAAAGCATGGTTCGCATAGAAAAATAAACAATATGGACGTAATTACACATTTGTACGTGTGACGGGAGACATGGTAGAAAATTGATTCAGGAACGCCGATACCCCAGCAATCGTGTAATGAACAAAAACAGTACTCCAGCGGTACCGTGCATGTTCTGCGAACTACGAACTCACGCCGCACCCGTCCATGATGTTCATGGAAAGCAATATTACGTCACGAGAACGCATCGAGGAAATGATTGACCGCTTAAAAGAGATAGTCAAGAGTTGTTCCAAAATTTACATATTCCAATAACATATGTTCCAATAATAATAAAGGTCGAGCAGAACCACCGGCTAATCTAGAACAGCTACTGCCTGACTCGGAGAAAGGCCTGGAAAAACATGTTGAGGAAATTCATCAACAGTTATCCTGGAGATTAATCTGTGTAGTGGAAATATATAAGCTAGCTGTGAACTGTTTAGAACATTTCATCATCCTTAAGTACTACAACACTCACTAATGCAAGAACTATATCTAAAATGATACAGCAGTGATTGTCTATAAGTCAGCTTCAAGTATATACCATCGGATGCGGCTTATTAATTTCTTCGGCGGCAACAGTCTGTCGTTCGGTTCTGTTACTCAATTTAGGCTATAAATAGCCTTTCCTGCGGATCTTTTGCCATTAACGTAATCAGGTGCGCGCTATTGTCTAATCGACATTTCAGCGTCAGTTTTGATTTCTCACGTCTTATGAAATGCTTTAGATGGTAAAATCCCACATTGCCTGTAATTGACCGCTGACCTCGTTATTTGATCGTACCCTTGAACACCTACCTTACTGAGGGTCAAGACCTTTATCTGGCGATAATTA